CAGGCTACGGGAAACGGCCACCGTTTGACATCTACACTTAGTCTTGACGTTTTAAAATTTCATTGCATTCAATGCTTATTTCTCACTCTACACAATCCGGTGCACTTACATCTATCACGACGCGCTCAAAGCCTTGGCCTAGAAGGCTGCCAACTGAGGGAATAAATCGATCTTCATAGGACGGAGCCGAAATGGCTCCTAATAGCGGGCTCTATGACACTCCTGCCAAAATGAGATCCAAACTGCCTCCTTCTTGACTGCCTGACAAGCTGGTCCATCGTGCCCGGACGAGATGTCTAGATGCTAAGCTCAGGTTCATGAGGCAGATGAGAGTGGGACGGCTGCTGTGCTAGTCTAATATCACGGTAAACCAAGTAATGAGACGTCACTGTCCCTGCGCTTGTCGGGCCATGTGCTACACGATGCACAGTGCCGGTAACGATGATTAAAATGTCAAAGTTGTCAACCAACAAAGCAAGGAGCCCGTGGAGTCATGGTAGGGTATTGCACTCAATGACCAAAGGTCTCGGGTTCAAATCTCGGGGGCTCCAACTCTTGAGATTGGGCATTACTGGCTGATGACGGCTAATAAGCCAGAAATGGCCATTCCGGTCTCCCTTTGTGGCTGATGACGGCTAATAAGCCAGAAATGGCCATTCCGGTCTCCCTCTGCTTTGACCGATGACGGCTAACAAGCCAGAAATGGCCATTCCGGTCTCCCTTTGCTTTGTCAAATCCATTTCAAAGTGTCATTTGTCTAGGCTAGAGTTTATTTATGGTAACCGTATCCTATCGCCAGTAACAATTCTTATAGACAGCATCATTATTTAGACAGACAGAATCTAGTTGCAGAAGAATTCTGAAATTTACAAGCCATGTATGCGTATCCAGAATTTAGCGTAGAATTTAAAATAAAAATTAACTGCACCTTACCTCCACATTTTGTATAAATCTGTCAACTAGGTCGTTCATTGTTGTTTCGAACTCCTTAATGATATCGTCCATTTGGTCCATTAAAGAAACTTCGAAGCCCATAAGTTTGTTCCATAGGTTATTGATTTCTTTGCGGTACTCTTCTAACGATGTCTGCACCTCCCGCGCATCTTCTAGTCTAGCCAATTTTTCAAATCTCTAGTGCAAAAAATGATAGGTGGTAAAACTAAGTAAATAAATGCACTCTATCTAACAGGGGTAGAACTTCGCGAAGTTTACGTTCATTCTAAACAAACATATAGAATAAATATCCAGATGCAATAAAAAACAAGCATTCAAAAAGCAAGCTTTTAAACGCATATATACCTTGCTTATGTTTAAAACATGAGACTCTTACCGCGTTTTTGTTAGTTTGAAAATCCTCGATAAGACGAAGACAGTTTTCCTTGATCCCAGCCTTCGCTTCCGACAAGCTATATATGACATTTTCGACTTCAGCGTCTCGCTCATCTCTTTCGCGAATTCCACAGTTAAATAATTCCTCACTAATTGCTATTATCTTTGTTTTAAATGTTTTTAAAAGTTAAGAAAATTCACTCATAATTTAAAATGCATAATGAATATTCACATTCAGTTAGCAACCCCAGTCTGCAAATCACTGGATGTGGATTCAGTAAATGCGAAGCAGATACCAAATTAATCCTTGGTAAACTGAAATATTATAGATAGACACGGGGATATTAGTCAGCTAAGACAGTAACCACTTTGGCCTTTAAATATATAGGTTAGTGTTTTTATGGATTGAATGAGTGCATAACCTAAAAACGAGGGGAACTGATCGACGGAATAGTCACTGCGCATTTGTGGGTTCTTAAACATCAGAAATACTAGCAAATGCGCATCAACAGTGTTATCCTACAATACATATTTTACTCAAGAGAAAATAAATTTAATGATTTGCCCAGTTGCAGTGCATGCTTATGTTTTCCCTAGTCCTGGCACTGTCTTTTAGACATATCTACAAAACAAATTCCGCGGTTTCCCAACAGTAACTGGAAACAACATTTCGCCTCCTCGAAACAACGTTTTTATCACAACGTTTGAGACCTGAATCATCGTATGGGCAGTTGCGATCGTAGCAGGAAAGCAGTTTGCTCCCTCGTGTTAAGTTTTTGCTTGTAAGCAAAACAGTTGCCCAAATTCTATGGCAGCACATTCTATCGCCTCAGAAGGAATGCCATGAAGTCTGAGCCTGTAGAGAACTTCGACTGCCGCCTATTTCAGCGCTCTATTTTCTTTGTGTACTGAAATCGGTAAATATGCCAGTAAGTAGTCAGTGGAAGCTCGATGGTATGCTAGCTTTCTATCAACACCTTGACACCAAAATGTAGGTAAGTGGCCGAAGTTGATTTCCCCTAAATCTTTAGGGAAGGTAAAGAGGGAAACTACACAAATATTCTCTGGTTTGCTTTGTTAGTCCATAAGAAACTTATGAAAAATCGAACGAAACGGTTCAATTAAATGCTTGATCTTTACAATTTATCCTATCTTGTCTTGCGTCCCACAGAAAATCCAGCACTTATTTCGGTTGAACGGACGTTGTCTCTGAGACCGTGTATCATAACATCGAATTATGTTTAGATGGGAAAGTTTTATTTCGAAAGGTTAGAAGTTAAATAAGCAGAGATCCTTGAGTCTTTCCAAGAAAGTTCAACTCGTGAACCATTTACTTTAATAGGCTGTAAATGGGGTACTTTCATGTTAACAACTAGTCAAAAAGAAACTTAAAGTCAGTTTAACAGGTATTTGTCCTGTCATTAAGCGACTAATGGATTCAACATTGATGCCTAAAGTCTGTCAGAAGTAGGATCAACTGGTAGATCATTAGCTTTGTCCACACCGCAAACGTTAATAGCTATAACCACTTGTTAATGAGGTTGCATCCCGCATATTTTATCCTCTCCTTCTTATTTTTTAATTCCCCAGTAGTTTTGTTTACAGCGGATGACAAACTGCAGATATGCCTATTCGTTACCAGATCGATTGCGAATTGACAGTCTGATCATTTTCGTCATCGTCGGTGGCGTTTATGCTTACCAATATGTTCCTAATGGTAGAAGAGAATTCCGCTGATTCGGCACTAAATGGATAAGAACACATTTAGTCGCGTACACTTCTTATTGTACCTTAATACGCTTTTTGCATGATAGACTCTGCAAAAGAATTCATTTGCAACAAATCGGAGTTCCAGTTTCCTGTAAAACTTGCGTTCTCCATTTTTTGGCTCGATTCCGATCACCTTATCAGGGCGATTGTTGACAGGTTGACGAAGAACGGCTGCATATTTTAGATTTCTTTCCTAACAACAGCTATATGTATTTCCGTAAGCGCAAGTCGCAACCTCGCCTGTGAAAGTAGTCTAGTTATTATTCGCTCAATTATTTACTTATTAGAGCTGTGTGCAATCATGACTATAGTTTCAGTGAGGCAGTATCTGTTCATTCTTTGCTGCCCATGATGTAGAGCATTTCCGTGGCTGCGCAATGTGCGAGCATCGACCGCCATATATTTTTTTCCTTTGCAAGAGGCCCGTGGATCTAATGAATGTTTCTATTTCCGAAAATAAGGTGGCACAAAAAGTCCCGTTTGCGCCTGGATTTTAAGAAAGTAAAATGCTGAAGCAAATACTACTATTTCGAAAATTGTAACGAGGAAATCACGAAAAATACAAGACGTTATAATCGGGTAGACTTGGTGTGATATCTAAAACCTTTCAAAAAATCAGGCAGCTTTCTTCAAAGAAAGCCACCGATACAATTAGACTAGCATCAATAAGGCACTGATTATGATTAAAAGTGTACTTTAAAGGATATCTTTCGACTATAGTTGAACATCCAGGTAGTTGGGGCAGAACGTTATCGGCCGAATCCGTAAAAACCGATACAAAAAGCTTTCCGTCTTCTAAACCATCAATAAATGCCTCTTTGTACTTTTCTTGAAGTCGCTTGGCCTCTTCTTCAAGTTCTGCTTTCTTCTGGGCGGATTCTTCCTGCGATTGAACTTCGCGTAACTTTAAATGGTACTTTTCTATTGCATTTGACCTCTATGGTGAATATCTTTCTCTATTTCACAAATACCTTTAGCTCATCACAAAGCCCGTAGTCTAAATAAACAAGCTTAGGAAGGAAAGCAAGGATAAAGCCTTCTGTGTCTTCATTACTGCAGAAAGGATTATTTTCGACATTCAACACTCTGAGCTCGGGAAATTTTCGGAGGTGAATGATCTGAAGTTTTAGGAATAAAAGTTACATACTTCATTTAGCTCAGACAGTTTGTTGCCACCGATCGAAAAGACCTGTAGCTTTTCAAACGCATGTAAGTTCGAAATCGAGCTGATATTGTTCTTGTGCAAAGAAAGGTCTTGTAATTTGACTAGATTGCTCAGTCCGGTGATGGACGTGATTTCATTAAATGAGAGATCTATACGTTAGCATGTGGGTAAAATTTACCTAGCCAAAGAAGATTAACAAGATGGTCTAGCCCTTCAATCTTTTCTATGTGATTATTATTCAACTGCAGTTTTGTTATATTTTTGAATTCCCACAAAAAATCGATCCTTAAAATATCTGCAAAATTATTAGAAAATAGTCAAACTTTTAAACTCAAGAGATAAACTCTTAACATCTTCATAGGTTTGTTGCCCATTTTCAGGCAACTTGGTTGCTTCCTTTAGCATATCATCGCTAATAACTGACGGTTCTTTAAACATCTTTAATTTCTTTAAGCGCGGGGCGTCAAGGCATACGCTAGAATTGGAATCGACCTCACAGGCGCTTCAATCAAACAAAACAAAGTTTCCCTCTAGATCACATAACATCCAATTAACTCAAAATAACATTTTCAGAAAAATACACTGTCATATAAGTAACTGTTATTCGGTTCAGCCTTAAGAAGCCCTATTTGGCAATCGAATATGGATTTACAGGTGGCAGCAATGAAAATTCATATTAGAAGCAAACAAGTGAGAACGTTCAGGGTTTGAGAATGCTGGTGGATAAAGAAGGTAGAACGCAACTTGTATGGGCGATTACCAGAGGTAAGGGGTGAAAACTATGGAAGGTTTTAAACACAATTTATGTGCAAAAGAAAACAAAATCCGGCTTTCGAACGAATATAAGCTTTTGGTTAGTAAGCTGGCACCTATCTGATTAAGAAGGTTTTCGATGTCACTTTAAGTCACTTTATTAAAGGAAGAAAGCTTTCGCCCTTGAGCTCCCTATTCATAACCAAAAATCGCAAAA